GGAGCCCTGGGCCCAGGAGGCTCTGTGGCTGGGAAACACATCCGCGTTCCAGGCCAGCAGCCTGCAGCGCCGCCTGCCTCAGGGGATCATCATCGGGGTGCGGAAGGGGGGCACGCGGGCCCTGTTGGAGATGCTGGCGCTGCACCCCCAGGTGGCCGCTGCCCGTGCCGAGGTGCACTTCTTCAACCGGGAGGAGAACTACCGCCGGGGGCTGGGCTGGTACCGCCAGCAGATGCCCCTCTCGCACCCCGGCCAGCTCACCGTGGAGAAGACCCCAGGCTACTTCTCCTCCCCGCGGGCCCCCGAGCGCGTCCGCGCCATGGACCCTGCCGTGCGGCTCTTGCTCATCGTGCGGGACCCAGTGGAGCGGCTGGTGTCAGACTACACCCAGATCCTGCACAACCGCCGGGCACGGTGCAAGCCCTACCCGCCCCTAGAGCGGCTCCTGCTGCGGGGGGACCGGGGCCTCGACACCCGCTACAAGGCTATCCAGCGCAGCCTCTATGCCCTGCAACTGGCCCGCTGGCTGGCCGCCTTCCCCTCAGCCCACATCCACGTGGTGGACGGGGGCGGCCTGATCCGCGAGCCCCTGCCCGAGCTGCGCCGCGTGGAGCAGTTCCTGGGCCTGGCACCCAGCCTGGGCCCCAACAACTTCTACTTCAACCAGACCAAGGGCTTCTATTGCCTGCGGGCCGGGGCCCGCCAGCGCTGCCTGGATGAGTCCAAGGGGCGGCCCCACCCGCCCATCGCCGAGCAGCTGCTGGAGCAGCTCTGCACCTACTTCAGCGCCCACAACGAGCACTTCTTCAGCCTGGTGGGGCGCACGTTCAACTGGTGCTGAACTGGGCAGGGCCTGTGGGGCCAGACCCCCCCCAGCGGGCCGAGCCCTGCGGGGACAGAGCCCCCTCCCCAGGGCAGAGGCTGTGAAATGAGGGGAGGGGGGAGTTGGTACCACAACAGGCTGGGCAGCTCTCCCTGCCCCCCCAGCTCAGAGGACTTAAGTGCTCAGAGCAGGCTGTGAGGGGGCTCCTGCTGGGGCTGTATCCCCTGGACACGAGAGGGTAGATGGGAAAGGGGGTGGGAGAAACCAATCAGGGCAGGAGTGGGTGGCTCCCCCCCCTTGCAGGGACAAGGCAGAGGCCCACAGCTGCCCCGGAAGCACACTCCTAAAAGGGTCCAGAAAGAAACATTTGCCCTGCAGCACTGTGGGGCAAGGCAGGTGGGATGAAAGGACAGGGGGCTTCTACAATTCAGGGCATCTTCCCCCTCAGGCTGCCAGCCTCCCACCCATCACCTCCCAGGGGGGCAGGAGACCCACCTCTCCCAACAGAGGCTGCCTGTTTTCCTGCCCACTCAATTCCCCAGCCAGCCTGCAGTGCCTTCTCTGCGGGCTATACACAGCGTTACAGGCCCCAGCTCTTCCTAAGCAAGCCCCAGCCTAAGGCAAAAACCCAACAGACACCCCCCTCCCTTGGTTTAGGGGTTGTCTTTTGCAGCCCAGGGGTGTCAGGCTCACTCTGGCTGGGGCAGGCTGGCAGCTGAAGCCAGGTGCCCCCTTATCCTGGCTTTTGACTGACTCCTGCCTGGAGGGGAGCGCAGAGCAGCATGTGGTCACAGTGCAAGCCATTCAGGCTGCAGCCCACAAGACTTCCTGCTTCCCCCCCCTCGCCCCACTGGACCGGAAGCCCAGCCAACACCAAGCCCAGCTGCTCCATCTCCGCTGCCCCCTGGTCACTGCAGGTTGGTGCCTGTGGAGCAGCTGGCACATTTCCCCCCCCAGCAGCCAGCTCCTCCCTCAGGCAGAGCACCCAGGCCTTGCAACTTTGCCTGCACAGGTGTAACAGCAGCTTAGTGCAAGGTGGTTATTGCCCTCTAGTGTCTGGCTCTGGGAACTACAGGTACCTGCTACCACTGTAGCCCAGTTGCATCATTAGAAATGGCAGTGGGGTGTGGTTCTGGTGCTGGAATCACTCAGAGCCCAGGGGTAGACACATTTCACCCCCCCCCCCGGTTACATAAACTCAGAACACAGCCTCATAACTCTAGTACTGAAGTATGCCCCTGCCAGCACACCTAGCACAAGTGTTAACAGCGCCAGCCCCCAGTCCTGCATGGGGTTTGAGCCATCAAAGCCCCAACTGCCTTGGCCTTGCAGCCAAGGAAATAGGGATGAACTCCCTCAGCTATAGCACTAGGTGGGAGCACACAGAGCAGCCCCAGAACAGCCCATGGGGGTCACACTGTTATGCACACAACCTCACACCCAGCCTGTACCTCAGTTCAGCTCCTGGGGTCCCCTCCCACGGGTAACAAAAGTGACTGTCTTTTCATTCTTGTATCCCACTGAGTGGCAGTGCTCTAACTCTTTGTCTGACAAAAGCTTTGCCATGGGTCTGCAGCACATGTCAGGGAGACCCAGCTGAGCGGAGGCAGTGGCAGTGCTGGCACTGAGGATGGCTGCTGCCAGCTGAACATGGATTACGTTCGCTGAGATTTTTTTTAATTGGGTACAACAAACACTAGGGAAATGGTGTCAACATTGTTGGGGTGGTTTGTTCCCCCAACCAGTTCACTCAGTGCATGGTAATGAAGCACAGAATTGAGTCCTGAGCAAAAATCTCAGGGTCAAATTCCAATTTAGGTCTTTGCTCTGTAATAGAGACAAGAGGAAAGTTCTTCCCCTCCACCCAAAGCTTTGAAATAAGAAAATTTTCCCTCTAAAAAAATATATATATTTGAATGGAAAATGTAGTTAAAATTCTTGCACTGATGGGATTAGATCCAATACATGCCACTGGCAGGAGTGTGAGGATTGATTTACCACCCTGCCCGCTGCCCCAAACATCCTGTTACGTAACTGCCAGACCGGACACGAGAATGGAGATGGTTATTCCTAGACTGACCACTTCCAATGTCAATTCCAGGTCTGACCTGAATGGACATTACCATGCTGAGCACCTTCCCCAGGAACCTGTAAGAGCTCCACGCGCTGAGGGCTAAGAGGATGGGCCCCTGGGAGGCAGCCATAAAGAGCACTCTATCAAGTCTCCGTCCCCTATGTACATATTTTAGATTATGTTTAGGTCACTCCTTAACCTCTTTGAAGAGTTACATAGCTCCATCTCCTGGAATCCCTCACTATAAGGCATGTTTTCCAACACTAACAGTTCTCATGTCTCTCTTCTCAACCCTCTCCAATTTTTCAGCACCTTTTGTTAATTGTCGACACCAGAGCTGGACACAGTATTCCAGAAGCAACACCAGTGCCAAATACTTTCACAGTTTAGCTGTTTGATGCAAGAGCCCCATTTTCACTGTTTTGATCTCAGCAGCACTGTTTCAGAGGTTTAGAAAGCCAAAACCATATAGTTCCCTCCCCTCCTCTGAGTACTGGTACGTAGCATTTACTGTTTATACAAGCATGGCAGACAAAGGACCTTTAGAGTTCTTCAGATTCAAAGCTTTGAAAAAAGGCCAATTCTAGAGCAGGCTGAAAATATTTAAACCAGTCTGATCAGCATTACAAGATACGCTAGTCTGCACATTTCACCACACCAAGCTATTTTGCCACAGTCCTTGCTGCTTTCATATTCAAACACAAAGTCTCTCCTCAGATCTGACAGTGTTTGGTGCAGTGATAGTTCTCATAAGTGAAACTTGTTCTCATGGGGAATGACTGGTAGATAAGTTGGTGGGTAAAAAAAATAAAACCTCTATCTGAATTGAGACTTATCAATGCACAGATCTGTAATATTTTTGCTGTTACAAAAAGTGATGGACTCAGAATTGTGCCAACATTAACAACATCCACCAGGATGGACTTGTGCTAAAAAAAAATCTGAAAGAATCAGATGCTTTCAAGCAGCCATAAGGGGATGGAAATCAGAAACTAGTTAAATGACAGTTTACACTGTCAAAAAAATTTGCTCATTTAATTTCTGAAGCAGTAGGCAGAAGCAATAGATTTCAGCCCCATTTTCACCTCAGCATTTGCTCAGAAATTGTTTTAAGGAAAGATCGTACTTGCTGTTTGAACAGCATCTTAAAACGGTCTCCCTAACCAGAAGCTTTTGTTAACAGCAAGCGTCTCCTGAACTACAGTACTCTTACCAAAACTAATGATTGCAGGTGAAGTGTCTTAAATGATGCTCAGAAGACCTAGCTTGAAACAAATTGAGCACCAAGCGTTGAGCACTTGAACTATGTCACTTATTTCAAAGGTGCTGAGCACATCTCACTCCCATTGCCTTGCGTGAGAACTGCAGATGATCAACACCGTTTTTTTTTTGGGGGGGGGGGGAGGAGGAGGAGAAGAGAATCTGGCCACATTCTCTCCCACCCCTCACCCCTTCTGAATAAGGTCTGATCAACCTGAACTTTTGGCTAAAGAAAACGGGAGCTCTAGATAACACCTGTGAAAAATCAAGGCATTGTGTTTCAATATCTAAATCTACATTTGTTTAACTTTGGGTACCCAAATTCCAAACTGAAGATTTTACTCGGGAATGGCTTTGAGGCTTAGAAGGGAAGTGATGCAGACGCCCATTTGATTTATCCACAGCACACTGGAAAGTAACTTGCGATGCTGCCATTCTACTCTTTCTATTCTGACAGCTGAAATCACTCGTGGGTCAGGGCAGAATCCCCACTACCACGATGAGCTAAGAAAATAAGTACGTTTTTGTAAAAAAAAAAAAATAAAATAAAAAAATGAAGCGTTATCACAGGTCTCTAGGGCAGTGTGTTAATCCACACACATACACTTTCTATTAGTTTAAAATGTGCAGTATCTGTGATCCTTACTAGTGACAACAGGTATACTTAACAATGGAAAATGCATTCTAACCGTTGTGGTCAGCCCCTCCATTGACCTGTCAGCAGCAGTGATAGCAGAGCTGTTATCAGAAACACAAGTCAAATAGTTTCTTCCTTTAGATACTTGTGGTGTCCTCAGCTCTTGCAATGCAACTGGAACCCTGAATTCAGATCTTGGCAGGTAAGTGAGAGAATGATTTTCCAGCAACATTAAGTAAGTGAAATTTTAAGTAGCAAATCAACTTTGTCATTACTTTAACAGTGATAGCATTTACCTTTTAATAGATTCCTATACTATAGGCCAATTCAATTTTTTTTGCACCATTAAAAGTTTACTCATTTGCTACCAAGATTGCCCATGCCATTCAACAGGTTATATTACAAACCATCCAAGTGAAGTAGTCATGGATGTGGCTGATCTAAAGAGGGAAAGAGCTTTTGCCTGTATACCTAGTCCAGTGGAGTTTGAGGGAGCCAGCTTCACAGAGAAGATGTGAAGTCTCTACTACATGATTTTTGCACCTGAACACCACGAGAGCAAATTTTGTAAAAAATGGTTTTATCAGTTCCATTTTTGTATAAAACACACGGGAGAAACCTAGCCAATCAACACACGAATTGCTGCCACATGACAAGATACTTTTTGTCAAACTTTGAATCTAAAGAACATACAAATGTTTTCTCATGTCTACAGTCAATTGTCTATGCTCTTCCATTTAACTATTTCTTAAAAAATTCCACATATCCCCATATTTCTTCTGTCCCAGTTACAGTACAATGACAGGGAGGAAGAGGGTTGGTTAAAACTCCTCTCTATGCAGTTTTCTGCTGTCCCTTCTTTCCAATCAGAGACTTATGGATGTGAGGGATTACACCTGCAAAGAGAACAATGGATTAGAATAGTGGTGCACACGACATTTTTCAACAGAATAAGTTCTGTTAGTTCAAAGGTTTGTTCATTGCCTGAATAGCTAGAAAGCTTTCAGTGTTCTGTTCTCTTAAGTTTTCACCTTTTCTTGTTCTTTGACTATCCTAGAATCCCCAGATTATAATGCACATTCTCCAGCGGTAATTTCATCCCACCCCAATGGATCCCACCTTATTTCAATCATAGGTTTGTTGATCCAACAGCTCATTTCTAAGCTGTAAAGCTAAAATGGAAGTTGTAAGAGTACATGAAACAGACATAATTAAGTTGCCCTATACTTACTCCTAAGGTTGATTACGGCGATGTCTGCAGGTAGAGCAGGCTGTAGAGCACAGACACTGCACGCTCAGCTAGCACAGGCATAATGGCAGTGTAGATAGGGAGGCACTGCTTAGGCAAGTGGAGTACAGATATGCCAGAACCTGAGAGTACGTACCCAACACAGCTCTCTACATGCCCAAGTAGTGCCTCCCACATCTACACTGCTATTTTTCTGCAGCATACTGTCCTGCTGCCAGAGCCTTTCCCCATCACAGTGAAAAGTTCAGGTAGCAAGGAAAGGCTCTGGCAGCTCCCCAAGCAGAGCCTTTTACTGCTGTGGGTAGTTACATGGTGCAGAGTGGACGCAGCCTGCTTTTCACTGCAGCACGTAGCTACATGTACCCTGCATGCCACCTGGCATATCCCAATATGCCACGTATCTCAACAGAACATCCACAAAGGAAAGCACAAAGGCATGGATGCAGCAACAGAAGAGTTAAGTAGGACCATTCATCTACGTCTCTCAAATTACTGCAGGCTATTTTGTACAGTATAGAATTACAACTAACTCAACATCGTTATTACACGATATATGAAAAGCACTTCTGTGAAGCTTAGTCTTCTTCCTACCTAAACTACCTCATACAGCCCAGTTCTATCTGTAAGGAAAGTTGCAGTAAAGAAGTAAGGGTTATAAAGAGGGAGGGTGGACAGAGAAGCTGCAATCCTAGGATCTTTAATAAAAGTGAAACAAATCCAGATTTCCCTCAATTTACAGTTACTTTACGTTTAATGCTCATGGAAGGTGCGGAGTGGATTATCCATAGAATATGCACTACAAGGAGAAGAGTAATTCAGTGGCCCATCCAGTCCTCTTTCTATGAGGCTGCCAAATTTCAATTGCTATGATGTTTTAGATGGAAACTGATACAAATCTGGCCAGAATGTCTGCCATTATTGATCTATGTGAAGTAGTGTGACAGAAGAAATTAAAGTGATGTTAACTTATTGTCTGTCATCTTCCTTGCAACTGGCTGTGCACTTTTGTATCAACCCAGTCAGTTATGAAGCCCAGCTATACCTACCTCCACCAGCAATGGTAGCTTTAATAAGGGAATCCAACTCTTCATCCCCACGAATAGCAAGTTGCAAGTGACGAGGAGTGATACGCTTTACTTTGAGATCCTTGGAGGCATTACCTGCCAACTCCAGCACCTGACAAATTAGGAGGCTATTTTAGTAAGAATTAGACCTGTTAAAGTTTACAGAAAGCAAAACGTGGTGTCAGCTGGAACATGAAATCATGAACAACTCTCAATTAGGTACTTACATGATGCGCATTACTGCAGTATGCAAGTGCCTCAATATCTAATGTATTTATCTTCATAACACCCCTGTGCAGTAAGGCAGTGCTACTATCCTCATTTTACAGATGGGAAAATGAGGCACAGAGACACTAACCAATTTGACCACGGTCACAAAGGGAGTTTGTGGTAGAGCAGGGAATCGAATCCAGACCTGGATTAGATTCCCTGCTCTACCACAAACTCCCTTTGTGACCTAAGCTAGCACCGTAGCCATTGGACCTTCCTTCCTCTAACCATTCATTGATTCCAAGGCCAAAAGGGACCAATGTGATAACTTAAAATTTTACATCTTATTTCCAGTCTGAATTTGTCTAGCTTCAACTTCCAGCCATTGGACTGTGTTGTCTGCTAGACTGAGGAGCCCATTATGAAATATTTGTTTCCCATGTAGGTACTTACAGGCTGCAATCAATTCAACCCTTAACCTTCTTTGTTAAACTAAATAGTTTGAACTCAAGTGTGTCACTATAAAGCATGTTTTAATCATTCTCATATGTCTTATCTGAACCCTCTCTTATTTATCAACATACTCCTGGACACAGTATCCCAGCTACAGTAGCACCAGTGCCAAGTATAGAGGTAAAAGAACCTCTACTCCTACTTGAGATTCCCTCGTTTATGGATTTAGCCCTTTTGGCCACAGCGTTACACTGGGAGCTCATATTCAAGTCCACCGTGACCCCCAAATCTTTTTCCAGTGTCATGCTTCCCAGGATAGAGTCCTCCATCTTGCAAATATGGCCTACATTCTTTGTTCATGGCACCCACTCACTGTTTAGTTACAATCAAAAGCCTATTCTGGACAAACAAGGTATACCTAGGATAGGCTTGCCTTTAATATAAAGTGGCCTTCACCCATTAGTTATAGATGTAAAGGTCCACTTGTCTTTTAACCAGTTATCCAGTGTATTTTTTGCAGTTGACATAGCTTATGAGAATCAGACTGATCTGCTTAGTCAGTTTCACTTTTGAGCTCTTATACAGCATCACAAAGCTGCACAAACGGGTGATGCAAGTTCAAAAATCCTTTATGTTGAAATGAAGTTTATTAGGTTTTTACAAAATAAGAAGCTGAAGTTCGTGGGCCTACACAGATTTTCCAATAGTTTAATCAACTCTTTGCATCTACAGAGTAATGCATTAGCTATCACCCAGCTTAACTAACTGGAGGGAAAACAAACAACTATTGTCATTTAGATTTTAATATTCCCATGCTGCTTGGTTTCTACCACATACATTTGGAAGAATATTTTAGAGAAACTATTTGCTGCTATTTGTTTAATTTATTAGGATAAATCAAGTT